AATGACCTTGAGAGGTCTCTTCCAACATGAATTAGTCTGTGATTTTGTCGTCTAGGTTATCATATATTTGCAGATATTTGGGGTGGGTAAAATGGTGAGAAAATATGTTCAGAAACATTTGATTTCCCTTAAAACTCCTGGCAGAAAACCACCTGATTACAAATTTTTCTTTAGCATACATTTTAATAGCTACAATACATTCAGTTCTTTGTATCACATTTAATAATTTTAATTTTAAATAAGTGTATTTTTTTATGGTTTCCTATTCTTTCATGCTCCCCCTGTTGCAGCTCAAGACAATATAGAAAAGGAAGTAACCTCATTTGAATGCAAATAGCAACATTTTTTTTAAAGAACAGTAGCTTGCAACTCAGATCCGTAGAATGATTGCTAAAATCATGAGGAACTGCACTTTAACTACACATGGTGAGCTATGTACATACTATTGCCACTGTGCTTAGGGTTCCTAGGTGCTGTGCTTCTGTACATAAGCTTTCATAGTATTATTCTACATGTTTTCAGAGCAGAGTTGAAGTACAGGATTTACTTGTATGAAGTATGGAAATTAATTACATAATGGCCAATGAGGACAAAACAAAATATGTAATGGCCACACATGGTAAGAAAAGCACAATTTTTTTTTTCTTACCCATTTATTAAGCTTTTTCTGACTGCTACAATACTGGAGTAATATCCAGTATGGCAGCCTCACTCAATTCCAAACCTGATTCATCTCTAAAATAGGCCATGCTGTACAGAGATTAAGGAACGGATCATGAAAAAGAAAAAAATACAGTTGTGACTGTATAATTAAAAGCTATATAAAAATGAATGTACAGAGAGAGCTAAATTATGCTTATACAAGCAACCTTAATTCTGGCATTTCTTGATACTGGAGTGTTTGACTTTCAAACACCTAATTTTTGTGTCAAAAGACATATAAGTACAACCTTATGATTTAATATATTAAATGTAACCTTTGTATGTTATTAGGTATAAATAAGGAAGATGTCAAGAATGCCACACAAATAGAAACTAAGTCAACTTTGACAGTTAAAGCAAGTTTTTAAAAAGTGTATTCTTGGTCACATTCACGTAGTACTGTAGGGACTACAGAAAAGTGATACCGGAGCTCAGCTGGGCAGCAGTGAGAAGAGAGCTCTTATCTCTATCTGGTCACACAAATAGGGATGCATGCAAGGAGAACCAAAAGTACTGGCATGAGGCTGGGACCATGTGCAGCAAGGGCTGCTTTGGACCCTGAGCCCCAGCTGGTCCCCCTCATCCAGCACCCCAAGTCCAGCCTCCGCCTTGACTCCCAGCAATTGACAGCAGCAGCATCTCTACATTCCCACACTTGTGATGGGACCAGTGTAACTTCAGCCATGCAATTTTTGCAGTGAAAAATTGCCTACTCGTTTTTAAACTAAAAATGGGAGTTTAATAGCTCTTGTTCTGTTTCTGTTCTGCTTGTGGGATCCTTAGACATCATTAGGGGAAGCTTTTAAATGCCTTGAAGCAAGAATGCTGTTTCTTCATTTACATGAGTATTTGCAGTATTTGCAGCACTCTTTCTAATGAGGGTCTTTATTCAGAGGTCGCAGCTGAATCCCATAGAAGTAAATGGGAGTTTTGTCTGAAGAAGAAAGTAAAAAATGCTAAACAGACTGTTAACTTTCTGTTGGGTTTTGGGGGCTGCTTTTTTTTGTTGTTCCGAGATAGCTGAATCTAATTCCTTGTGTCCTTTTTTGATATATGTAAACAAATCACTGAAATATACATTTTCTCAGAGATGCTTTCTATTATGTTTTCCTTTTTGTTTCACTAGTGTACTTCAGATGTGCCTCATTCAAAACAAGAGGTTATCCTTTTCGTATGCTACATTTGCCTAGCCACAGGCTAAAATAAATATTACCACTCCTGAAACCTTAAAGTCCTACTTATCCTGAGTATGGCACTCACCAGCAAGCAAAACAACATACAGACTAATTAAATATTATTGAAGAGTAATACTGAAAAGTAAGTCTGAGAAGTGAGTTTTCTAGGCACTCACATTCACAGATCCACGTAACGATCAAAGCTAAGAACAAGTGATTGTACTTCCTCTTTGTTACAAACCTTCTAAACCATAAATATTCCAGCTTGCTGTGAGTTTCAGCAAGACAACCGTGCCTCAAGGACAGAAAATGCTTAGTGTGATGCCATTTTCCAGAAGATATATATGATTGTAATGGTGTACAATGCAAACAGATTTGCATGGCTGTTCACTAATAATCCTTGATCCTCCTCAGCCTCTTCAGAGATAATTACCTCATTGTTCTAAAAATTTCTGAGTCTTTGTAGACCTAGTTCAGTGTAATAAGGAGAAGCTGTAAAAATGTCATGACCTCCGCCCCCACAACTAAAATAAAAAAGGATGAAGCTAGCAAGCCTTTTGTAATAAAGTATATTAAGAATTGAAATATGTCCTCTCCATTGTATCAGCAAGTGATGATGGAAAAATTGATGTATGTACACATAGAATAAAAGCTGCTCTCAAAACTTTAAAAAAACCCCTTTCTTTTCTTTTATTTGGTAGGAAGCTATAAATTATACATAAAAAAATAAACTATACCCAGCTGAACTATTATTAGGCTGTAATTTTAACCTGTCAATTCCTAAAGCCATGTTGTGCAGGATCCTCTCTCACGGTTTACAACCTCAGAGGCATCCCTCTGGCACTTACCTAAAGGTTATTTTTTATTCTCTATTTAGAACCGATTCAAACCCAGAGCTTTTTTCAAGGTTCTACATGCCATTCCAAACACAAAAAAATACACAGGAGTATCATTACAGATTTGAAGTTGCAGTTATTCCCAGATGAAAATATAAATAATAAAGATTCAGTGCAAGACATATGAATATGACTGAGAGACATAAAACTTAAAATGATCCATTTTATAAGATACCTACATCTGTAAAACAGTTGGAGCCTCTAAAGGATCTAGAAGAGGAGAAGTTTTATCCAACCAAACAGTTGGGTATCTTTCCATTAGACGTATATTTCTAGGCCCTAGACCTTGCAGATTTGATCATGTAGGGAAGTTTTGATATACTATGCGCAGTTGAAAGGGAGAGGAGAGTGATGTCCCATGTGTGAATTAGACCTTTTGTAGATAACGAGTCGATCTGTACCTATTTCTTCAATTCATTTTCTAGAAACTTTTCCTTTTGTCCTTTTCTTTACCAATGCTGTTGGTCTGAAAACCAACTGAAGTCGAAGGAATATATTCTACTGGGTATTTCAAGGCAGACCATATCACTGGAACAAATAATACCTCTAAAGACCAAATAAAAATTTTAACTGCATCCAAATATAAGCCTGAACATATGGTTGGTTGGGAAACACTCTAGATGACACAGCCCTAGACTTCAGAAAAAAACAGTTCCAGGTTTAGATACTGGTTTTGGCCCATCTTTATTCCAAGTAGCACTTACTAGTGTTCGTAAGCTGTTTTTATACCCATTAAAACACAGTGCTCAAAAGTCTGCTTCTCCTTTCTACCTTCCTTCCCACTCCCTTTCACACCCCCAGACACGATAAGCACCCCAACATTTACAAGTCTAGGAATGCAGGTGGCTGAAACAAGCAGGTGGAAAGAGGGTGGACTGGGTTGAGTATCATTGTACAACAGGTGCTGGGTTTGTTATATACCTTAGTTCACTTAGCAATACAGAAAGCATTTTAACCAAATAAAAGATAATATATGCAAGTTCTTTTATTTACTGTGGTTTTGCCAAGCTTTTAATGATATTGGGTATGTCTGAAGGTATAAACCCCAGAAAGTGTAATGTTTTACCTGCAGAAAATTACTTTACACCTTCAGGAAATGAAATTCTGATCCTTTTGAAGTCTGCATCTTTTGAAGAAACAGAATACATAGGGATGAAATATCCTGGTTTCTAGTATTTTTTGTACTTTGGGGGTGATTTGAGAGAAAATACAGGTAAGGAAGTATCTTTGCCTCATTTATTCTTCCTATAATTGCGTTTAACTTTCTGCATCATAACATATTGGTAACTCACAAAAGATCAGAGAATTACATCTGTAATTTACAGTTGGGCTAAACTCCCCTTAATCAGGAACAGCAATTAAATACCTGAGTCAAGAAGAGAACGTGATCTCTTTCACACGTGGGATTCTCCTTGATGGTCAGTTCACACAACTGTGAGCATAACTCAGCATGGACAGCAATATTTAGACTTAGTAGAAGCTTATTACTTCAACAAAATAATTTGTTACCACTGCTAATCTTTTATCCCATAAATTGCCAGCCTTCTGGGAACACCTTCGAAAGTAGGAGTTTCGGTTTGAGATGTTGGTTTGAGCCCTTTACTAACTGCCACTGTATATGTTATCACTTACAGTGTCAATAAAACCCTATAAGTATGTCATTCTTAGGAAAATATATTTTTCCTATGGATTTTGACTATGTCTTCAATCATAACATTCCTACCAGAAGCACAAAGTTAAAAAACACTGCTGTAGCCAAATGGCAATCTATTCTGGCACCTCAGTTTACGTTTTAATTTAATGAAAGACACCTTGTTTTACAATTATTATGCTGTGGTATAAGATCCCTGAAAGGAATCCAGCTAAGTAACAGCTAAATGGTACAAAAAATATTTGTTTACCCTTGAGATGGTAAGCTTTTGTATTCATGAAATCACTAATTAATGTCTCTCATAGAGGTGAAATTTGCATTGCAGAATTACTGAGGGGGCAAAAAGAGGTAATTTTCTTTTAAAACATATATACCATTATTGTTGTGGGCATCAGAAGGTATATGCTCATTGCTGTCTAGATTAAAAGTTTCTAACATACGCAGAATACTCCAAATTTCTATCATACTACCCTCATTCTAATAACACTAAGAGGATGAGTAAAACAGAACACAGCCTTTCGACTGGGGCATGTTAACACAGCGCTGATGGCTTAAATGTATCCAATGGTAAATTACCTTTGAAAGGTCCCCAGCCTCCAAATAGAAGCAGATAACAAACACGTTCCATGTAACCCAAAGGATCAGCCAGACAGCATACTGCAGGGAGGAAGAGAGAAACAGTGCATTAATAATTTCACTATCAGCTGAGTTAAACTTAGTTCATGAGACCAGTAGTTCAATCCAAGACAAAAACAGACTATAAATATGGTGCATATAAATAAAAATGTTATATATAAAAGAGAATCAAGAATAAATTCTTCCCTTTCACAGAAACAATTTAGAGTGACCTAGTGAGTACTCAGTCACACCAGAAAATCTGTATGTGAGAAAACAGTTGATAGATCTGACATTTGAATTTGAGACTAATCTGGATCTCTTATTATTTTTCTGTCCTGGTTTCGGCTGGGATGGAGTTAATTTTCTTTCCAGTAGCTGGTACAGTGCTGGGTTTTGGATTTAGGATGAGAATAATGTTGATAAACACACTGATGTTTTTGTTACTGCTGAGCAGTGCTTACACAGTCAAGGCCTTTTCTGCTTCTCAAAGCACCCCATCAGCGAGTAGGCTGGGGGTGCACAAGCAGCTGGG